AGGGGCTCACGGGCTTACACATTGTACAAAGTAAAATAATTGTATAGTGCTCGTACCCGCAAATGTCATGTTCCCTAATAATGTTCCCTAACAATGGTTTCTGAACAAAAAGGCAATTTGGTGGTGCTGGACAGTGGAATGGCGGTTTCGGGATTGACAGTGAATAAAAAGAGAGACGGCAACCCCCTTTTTCCTACTATGCTGATAAAACGTAAACTCGAGACCCCCTCTTCATCCTATCCCCGAATTTCAATTTTCAATAGTTAAGTAGCATTCGAAGGAAAATAAACCAGTTAATAATGCGCGATCACTCAAAATTCAATACATTTGACATTCACCTCGGATTCCTGAAACATTAATCACTTATAAAGTGTGATGCTAAGCCCATGCACTTCTTTAAATCAGTATCCATTTTTGTTTCAATACAGTACTGTTGTACAATATATTTTAAATCACCATCACTGGTAAGACTGGTATACACGTTGACCCTGTTCACTTATCATGTCTGTCACCTAGCGGTTGCCATCTTGTAAGCTATACACAACCAGGATGCGACGGGACACATCATTATCTCATTAAAATAACACGTTAATGCATTCCTTTGTACACAGTGCATCAAAAGAACAATGCGGATCGTCAGTGCCTCTCCATGTGGCATCTCCTTGTGCGACTCGTTGTGATGAGAAAAGTGAGAAGAAAAAATGAAGATATAAACCAAATAAATCAGGGACATAAACCGTAACTTTGGAAAGTGGTTAGTGAAAGTTGAAAGGTCTAAGAATAACGACAGGTTTTATTCAACACGACTTGTGTGGGTAGGCCTGTTTGTAAGAGGAGGTTTGCTTTTTATCGTTTGTTTTAGGATCGACAATAATTATGTTAAAGAGCAGTTTCTTCACACATATACCTTGTCTTCATAAAGACGGCGGTGCATGAATTTCATTTGCATAATTAGCATTCAGGAGTATATTCGCAAAGTGCTTTTTGTATATAACTGCACCGTACATCACTCTGTTCGATGTAAGCTGTCGTGGCGCCTTTGTATTGTTTTTATGCCCCACCCTGTGCAATGATGTACGAGCTCCTTGTAAAAGCTATGCTGTCGTGTCTTGTATATGTTATGTCGGCACTACAGTAAACGGAATGTAAAGTTAATGAACGTTGATCGATGGCATGCCAGATAAAATTAATATACAACAGACTCCGTGCTCCCATTATCATAGTAGCCGCTGAAGAAGTCTTCTATCAGTGTCTATAGCCCACATAATAATATCCGACAATAATTTTCGTTTATCAAGCGCGCTTAACCCGATCGCAACTACTTTCGAAAAATCGACCGAAGGCAATTTTAGGAGCAATGTGCGTCACAGTCATATTGAATGTGCAAACACGAAAATGTACGTAATCAGAACATGATTTCTATGGGACATACAATAGGGTATTGAAAGTGCCCCTCGAGTTTCATTTTTGAAAATAGTTGAGAACGCTTTTTTTTTTTATACATTCCTTTCTTAGACTAATTGTTTTCTCGAACCTGTGCGATATGTTTGAGACATGTTCGTATACAAGATATAGGCCCTCCATTATATAGAGTACGTCATCAAAATCCAAAAAAAAAAAAATGATTTGATTTCACCCCCCCCCCCCCCCCCCCCCCCCCCCTCTTATGAGTTTGATGCCAGCCCGAGGGGGAACTCCCCCTTTAAAATGTATACGAATGTAGTAACCGAGCACGAATGGAGTAATGTTTCTTTGACGGTGGAGGGCGTTTCCTCTGTGGTTCCTCTAAAGAGTTCAGAGACGGGTGACTATCATGGTGGAACATAGCAATGATGCTCAAAAAAATGGGGCAGATGGAAAAAGGGAAGAAGAAGGAGAGAGAGAGAGAGAGAGAGAGAGAGAGAGAGAGAGAGAAAGAGATAGAAAAGAGAGAAGAGAGGCGTAGACCCTAATATGGATTGGGTATAGTATAGATGTAAAATAAAGATATCACAATTTCAAAATGCTGTTTCCTTATTAATAATTATGGCATTTACTGGAGGCATTTGCCGAAATGAATCCCAAATTCCCACTTTGAGTTTCAAGTCTACAGTCTTTCATGCGGCATGTTTCTAAAAAAAAAAAATCCGTATTATCTCAAAATGTCACTTTCCACTCCAAATCCATTTAAAACACATTCTGAAACCAGTCAGGAAATACAGGAAACAATCCCTTTTCAATCATCCTTCAAAAAGGAAACTCCTTCATGACCCCTCAGCTCCATTTGGGTCACTATGGTAACGCTTCATAATTTTCTACATGAAAAATTTGAATTTTTAAGAGTCTTCTTGTCAAAATCCCCAAAGTTGTTGATGTCTTACTTCTTTAATTTCTTTTTACTTGGTTTTTATTTTTTGCATTTGCCTGTGTAAAAATAGTTTTCGGTAAATTAAGTCCGACACCCCCCCCCCCCCCCTCTTTCCCTCCCCCATCCCCTTTCCCCCTCAATTCAAATTAGCTCCAGCTACACCCCTCCGTTAAGACTCTGTTTGAGTACGTGTCCTATCGGTCTCTCCTCTTAAAATAGATAGGCAAAGTACACTATTTACACAACGGAGATAGATTTCACTTCACACATAGCTAGGATTCCTTTCTCATGTCGTCATCTTGCTTGTTTCATCCTCCTTTGTTCTCTTATTGTGACGTATACGATCCCTGTTAGAAGGAGCACCGTCTTTAATTCTTCAACGCCAATCAGGAAATGAAATTCACCTCCTCCGCTCAGATCTGTCTGTCTGGCGTAATCGAAAGTCGAAACATCCCCGGGGTCGGCATAAGTTTAACACACATCTCAAAATCTATCATTTTGGTTTATTACATTTTGGTTTATTTTAGTGACCTCCTGTAGCGGCGGAGATACTTACTTTGACCATTCTTTTACAAAAAAATAAAAAGATATTTAAGTTGAGAGCAGAGTGAGTGAGATTAGATTAAAACAGCGACAACTAAAAGATAATCCTGCGAGAAAAATAAAAATGCATCCACTCCGTTGATATATAGCAGCTGCATCTTTTATGCGAACGAGCTTACTAATGATGAACATAATTATACGATGTTCTTTCGTCACTATGTTGTCAATGTAGTATTTAAAGAAATGTATGATTTAACTATTCTTTACTCATTAATTACTGGTGATTTATCAGATGGTTTTGAGATCATTCTCAGAATACACGTTGATAATTCCGTTTTTAAATGTTCCAAACTTTAATGAAAGTACCAAATTTGCGAGATTTCGATGTTGAACAGAAATTGCTTAATAACCAAAATGATTATGTTTTCTTAACAATGATAATAGCTCTCGGGAAATATTTCCCGACACTATCTTACTTTCATAACGGTGACGAATCAGAAAGATGTCTATATTCGGTGAAAGGTCTCGATGTCTCTATGTTTGACTGAAAGAAAATACAATACAAACACACACCCACATAATTATCTCTATTCTATTATTCTCTATGGAGTGTCTATTGACTTATCCTTGGCGTAGTTTTCTTTTCCCACTCGGGTGCCAAATGGGTTTCGTGATCGATTTTTGGTTTTAAAAGAATGCCTTCTGATTCATAGGTAGACAAACATGGTTTTGATTATCATTTTATTTTGAGAATGCGTTCATGTCGTCTGCGAGAGAATGAAGTCTTAATGCTGTTATTGTTCCAGTTTCGTTGAGGTAATGCGTGTAATAACAAATAATTAAGGTTGCAGATCCGTGGAAAACAGGGGCGCCTCCTCGCTTCACCCCCCCCCCCCCACATACACACCACCGAACCATCTGCCATATGTTTGAGTACCCCCTATACCCCCAGTACCAGCACCACTTTACAACAACAACTACTACAAATTATTTTACCAAACATCATCTTGTATACCGTGAAAACAAGGGCCTTTTTTCTGCTTATATGTACAGTTATGTTTCTTTGAGTGCTTGCCAACTATATCCTTTGTCTGTTAATTGTTTTCTTCAAATTGGTTGATGCATTTACATTGTAATTACATGAAAATGCATCCAAGGTTGAATGTCGGGTTATGTTTCTCTGAATTATATTGAGCTGTGTATAGAAATCTATAATGCCGATAATTGGATTAGCCTATGTTGTAATTGACTTTAACCATGTCATAGTATGCCACATAAAGAGAATCATTTTGGTATAACCATCCTTTGCGTGAGAAGTAGAAGAAAAGAGAGAGAAATACGGAGAGAGAGAAAGAGTGAAAGACAGAGAGAGAAAGAGAGAGGAAGAGAGAGAGAGAGTGAAAGAAAGAGAGAGAAAGAGAGAGAAAGAGAGAGAGAGAGTGAAAGAAAGAGAGAGAGAGAGAGAGAGAGTAGTAGGCTACATGACTTCCCCGTCATCATGAGCATAGTATATTTTCAAAGGACATTAATTTTGTTAGTATGATCATAATGAAGTTATGTTCAAAGGAATTACATTTTCAATATCGAGTTTTATTGAACTTCTATTTGATATTATCTTTGAAGAACATTACCGGGGTTATCCTCTCATTCTCATTGCTTTATCGAACTCACTGTGTGCAAACAACCAGCTTCATTGTCACTGTATAACATTGGACTATATAGAGACTGTTAGACTGTCCACATCCATCGTCAAATTATTCCTCTTACAAAAATAAATATGCTTCATTGTTTTCCTCCTCCATGTTTCTACAAAAACACCACAATTCCGCACTAATTTGGTCCGTATGACGAGGATACTGACAAAATAATAAAGTATTACGTTCATGAATATGAGCATATCTGTAAGTTGTTTGTGTATTTTAAAGAATAAAAAAAAGGATAAGATATATTAGCCATATTTCCATGGCACAAAATAATGACATAACAGGGAAGCCCTTGTTTAAAAGCCTCGGGTCTTTTATTTTCTATCTTGTATGGTTTCACGATTCACATCTTAATGATGTTGTTATTAAATTCAATCTTCCACATTTTGTTCTCCATAATCATGCAGGAGGTTACAGAGACAGAGGTGCCTGCCAGTCGGCTCCACTCGGGGTCCCGAAACGGTAACGGCCACCTTCACCACCACGACGACGACACCGAACAACTTTCCGATGACATCCAGTCCTTACATCGCCAACCCAAGAACCCCGAGTACTCCGAGTCCGTCACCGTATCGCGTATCCCCGCGCATCAGGAATACCGCTACGGCATGCGGTGCGACATCGAGAACCCCCGACGTTACCGCGACGCAGTGCAACTCGTACCCGGTCAGACCAACCCCGGTCGGTACTACAGCACTTTCACGCAGTGCTACATCAACAGCTCGTACCGCCGCCGCCGGTACAGGGAGACCGTGTACATCCGACTCAACGCACCGAACCCAAAGCAGTACTCCACCAAGGTCTTCGTCTTCCCCCAGTCGGTGAGGGAGACATTCGTCAGCGAGGTCGATCACCATGACGAGGAGACGATAAAATGGTACAAGGTGGGCGTCAAAATGGAGGCCAGGGACTATGTGTCGGTCAAATTCATGCAAGTGAATTGATTCCAGGCGAATATGTGTGTTGCCATGGTAATGAAACATTTCCATATTATCATGGTAGACATTATGAATAATAATGTATAAGGTCTTTTCTTTTATGGAGTGAAATTATGCACCATCGCTTGCTCGAACGTTGGCTGTGTGGACCGACGGAGACTTGACCGAGCCACATCCATTCGTATTCTATAACTCATCGTGTATCCAACCAACATCTGGGTTTAACCGATTTGAACTAATCATGAAAAGATACTGTTTTTATTAAACTAAACATGCTAAAGGATAGATGAAACATCCGATGCATTGGTAAAAGAGATAGAAAGAATGACTTATAATGATGTGTGAGGAATTTTGATCATTAATGTTCATTCGACACCCTGGAATAAGTAACAAGTACCCATGCAGGATGAGTGATGTCCCTGGTGTTCTCACTGTTCTGAAATAAGGAGTGCATTGTTATGACTCTTATAGATTAGAATAATGATGGAGTGAAACCTGTATTTAAAGACCACGCTAGTGAAAAGCAGTCTTTATAGGCAGGTGATTCTTCTATAGTCCTACAGGTCACTGTGTGATCTTTCCATGCAGATTACTGTGTGGCTTTTCTATACAGGTTCCCCAGGATACATATTCCAAGAGAAATACAGTCAAGAGGAAAATGAGATCTTGAAAGACACGTGGTCTTTATATACAGGTTTATATACAGGTCGCCACTGACGTAGGTTTGTCTTTATAACTGAAACTTCAATTAATTAATTATGCAATGCTTATTTTGTCTTGGGGCAATATATTGGGTAAACTCACGTTTAATTATGTATGCCATAATATCAATGTATATTTAACGATCATGACTCCTTTTTTCTGCATTGAGATTCATTTGTGTTTTTTCTTTGTACTTTGTTGGCTGATTATAATCCAATGCAAACGTTAGTTACTTTGAAAATAACCCTCTAATTTTAAATTTCTTGGCTTGGAACTATTTAAGTCTATATACCAATTAACTGAATATATTTCCCTCTGAAAATTATGTTATTTTGTTCTTTTTCCCCAAGTTTAGTAAATCCTTGTTTTTCTGAAACTTTCAGAGATGTTATCCTTAAAACCTAAGACAAATTAATAACTAATAATAATTACTTTCATGTGTATTTGAAAACAATTGAAATAGTATATTTCATTCACGAGATCAGGGGCCCCGTCTTATAAAGAGTTGATATCAATCGCAATTATGTACAAAAGTGTGAAGATATTTATTTCATACTCTAAGAATTGCATCTAAAAAGCTAAATACACCTGTACTCGAGTATGAAACAACAAGATGGAGACATTCCTCTGTATGCTCAAACATTCTCGGTTCATCCAAAGAGAGAAAATATTAATCCATTCCATATTCCATAACTATCATATTAGAACCAGATATGAATAACAAGTGCACGACTCACTGTAATGATATAATAAATAGCAATAATATTGGATACGTGTATAAGTCATGATCCACCACGCAAGATGCCCAAGGTGCTCAAAATTAATGTATCCCTGGTTTCCAGGCTACCGATTTCGGTGCTCACACCGTTGAAGGAACGAACCCCTTCCTCTCGGTACACATTGAATTTTTGGGTAGAGATAGGAAAATGTTGAGAAATGTCGTACCAAAGGTCTCTAGCACCGCCCCGTGACTGGATGCTTAAATCACTCGACTACCACATCACATTTCCTAGTTCGTCCCCAACATAGACTTGGATGATTATTGAATTTCTAGGAGAAAGTCTTATTAATCTTTTTACAGATAATTTATTACAGTTAGAAAAAAAATCACTGCCTAAAAAAATAAATTACAAAATTTATTGATATTTGATGGGGTTAATTATTTTCGTCATTAGTTTGAAAAAGAATTTGCCCGAGACACTAGATTGGCTTTATATATTTATCGTAACAATATTATACCCCCCCCCCCGATCATCAGGCTGATATTGTTAGTCAAAAATATTACATTTAGGAAAATTAATTTCAGCAGTCACAGAGACTTTCGAAAATGAACTTAGGGTAATTTCAATACCTATTGAAAAGGCTATATATTGAAATGAACTTAAAACTTTATTTTTCAAACGCTTTCCGTACTATTTTTATCAATCATATCATTTTTTAGGAGATTCCCAAATTTTAAAGAAAAGTAGAAAGTTAGAGATAGATATAGTATGTTTCTATACATTCGCAATTCATTGTGTATTATAATGTAAATACAATTTTTTAGTATTTAGTGTGTACTGTTTGTGATCGTGATGATTGTGTTTTCCATGTTATAATAAATTGTATCATGCTGCAGATTGTAAATATTTGTTTGTGATGAAAACGAATAATAAATGATGAAAACTACAGTCTTTGCAAATTATTCGTGACACATTGTGGCATTTATTTAGCATTGTAGTGTACAGCGTACACCTATGTATAAATGAACTGTGCATGGACAATCGACTACGTAAATGCACATCAATTTGAACATTATACAAATTGCAATGTAGAAAAAAAAGAGGGACAAAGTTGTAGAGGAACATCGATGCCAGTATCTACATGTACCGTATAAAAACACAAATACAATGCGACTTATTGTAAGACATAATATTTTATACCAATATATCCCCATATTTAAAAAGGGCAGAGGTAGACAAGGGGAGTGAGAGAGAAAGATAGGGAAAGAAAGAAAGAGAGAGAGAGAGAAGGGAGAGAGAGAAGGGAGGGAGAGAGAGAGAGAGAGAGAGAGAGGGAAAGAGGGAGCATGTATACGGACTCGGAGATCAGTAAATACAAAACTGGTCATGGTTTACCGGAGATGGAGCTACACCTTTCTAGAGCATAGTGTCCCTTTATAAAGGGACTCTACCGTATTTCGTGCTAGAAAAAATAGAACTATACAGGGCATTACTACATTCACTAATAAAACTTCTCCTTTTATACATTTATGTCCATGTAGTTCATGTTAAGACGAAAAGCTAAAGACGGTCCCATGTTTTTGACAAATCGTATCATGTGGTACTATATATATAATTAAGAATTGAAATTGCATAAATACAAATTCAAGTACATAGATGCAAATTACTCTCCTCCCGAACAAATGAAACGAACGGAGATAAATGTATACAGCATTACATGCCTTTCAAACATTAAAGAACAAGTTTTACCGACACATCTAAACACCTCAAAAAATTAATTGATTATACATGTATCTCTCTTGTCATGGCATGATCATAGCTATGTTTGGTATCATTAGTAAGTGGGTTCATTACTTTTTAAACTGATACCCCATCTGTTGTGATTTTTCAGTCATGTAATGTGTAGTAGATCAAAATAAAGGGCAAGATCAAAAGTCAAAAGCGATGATTATGCCATGATAATAAGAGAGCTTTAATCGATCCAACTTAGAGGGAGTTGCACCAGTTTTCACGAAGATGCTGCAAGTTTCCACTGCTTTGCATGGACAATAAATAGAAACCTTGTGAACCAATTTGAACGAAAATCTCTGCCTCTAAATAAATAATTTATGTTTAAGCGGAATTAATATTTTAAGAATGGACGAATAAACAGAAAGACAATATGAACTTGGATATGGGATAAACATTTGTTCAAACATAAATTTCAAACGGTACATTTCAAGGTGGCATAGTATTGCACATTCAAACAAAACGTCAACAATTCAGGCAACATAAAATGATAAAACAAATATACATGAACAGGTTAAAACAAGAGTGAGAAGAAGGCTTAAAATCCGACTCAGATTCTGCTTGGCTTCTGCAACAAAATCCGTAACATCAAGGGCATAAATTACATTGCAACAAAATCTGTAACGTCTGGGGCATAAAAATAAATGGCTATACAGGGTAATGTGCTACTTGTTCTTGGCAAATTACTAGCAAATCGTGCATAAATCGTTTGCCTGAAACACGCTAAACTCCGAGAAGGCATTATGTGTTTTAACGTATTGAAATAAAGGTTCAAAGTTACATCCTGAACGGTACAACATAGGTTATCCCAAATTAGGGTGCAAAAAGGTGTAAATTTGCACCCGGGAGGAAGCCTCATAGAGAAAGGTGTATACGTTGGCCATATATATATGGAGGAGTAGATGTGGGCCTTCAATGGATGCAGTAAAGGTTAAACCCTAAATGGCCCTATTTTGCCCCTTAAAGGTACTATGTCCCTTTTGCAGGCCAAAAAAATGAAAAGGTTAAATTCCAATGGCATTTGAAAGATAATACTAATTTAGAACTCCCCTTAAAAGAATGGGGCTTGAATATGTCTTTAAGTGGGAAAATAACGACTATTATTAGTCAAATCGACTTAGGAGCTATAGAGCCAATAAGTAATAGTCTTGATTTTCAGAAGATTGTACCGCATGGTTGTACGTTTTATGCTGCGCAAAGATTCAATCAGTTTAATTTTGGCCATTAAAAGAAGTGGGTTATTGTAGTAGACAAATCCTTTACAGCTCATTTTATGTATGTTATTACCAAAGAAGAAGAAAAAGCCAGTCAGTCACTCCATACTGACAATAGTGTCTGACAGTGAAGTCTAGCAGGTAAACGGATTTTCTTGCATAATTTACATATAAGGACACTGCTAACGTTTAAATTTCACAGATAGGATATACATGACATATTCATAATTCCTGCAAAGTTCTACATAATTTGAGGTTGGCTGCAAAAGGGACATAGTATATCTTTAAAGGGCACGGATTTGTATCGGTATAGGATGAAAACATGGACCTATATTCACTAAACCGCTAGTTAACAATTCTTTCCCCTTCTCATTCTTTATAACAAAATAAATAATAGTGAACATTTATAATGCGCCATGTCTGTCAAAAATGACAATCCTGGTGCAGTACAATACATAGAATAAATGTCTATCATTAAATCCTGAATAAATACTTTATTAATGTTATTTCAAATTTGATTTAAGAAATACATTGGCACTTCTCACAGCAAAATACGCTTTTAATCGGTTGAAAAAATAAACACACACACACACACACACAAGCCAAATCGTCACAGAAATGAATAAAACAATGACCAGTTACCTTCCAACCGAAATATACCATCTAATACTACGACCTACAGGCTTTAAATCATTTTCTTCAAACCACTACGCTTGTTTCAAGAACATATTATTCCAGAATCGGGACATCCCAGGGCCCCATTTCACAAAACAGCGAAAAATGACAGCTTTTGTTATAAGCTAGTGAAATCCTTGCTTCTGATTGGTAAAAGAAGCAGCAGATTTGTCACTGATTTTTGTCATTTGTCATTGGAAAATGACTTTGT